CGCCACACTAAAGGTTGAGGCCCTCAGAACATACCTGGGGCATATCACGAACATTACCCAGCGCACTAGAACGCCATTCTACAGTTTTTACCAGCTGCCCAAAGGCTTCCCTTAAAAACACAATTATAATCTTGCCAAAAAAAATTATTGTACCACCAGTACCTGGCCCAGCTATTGGACGTGGAAAAAAATATAGTAGAAATTTCTAGTCCGACGAATTTGGACACTCCTGTAGTGGCCCGTACGTTTCCTAAAATTGTGGCTTGTTATCGGGGACAACTTCAGGAAGTACTGGTGGTTTAAGAGAGCTTAAGAAATTGCACCATTACTGTCTATAGTTTTAAGCCAAGGCAACAATGTCAGTTATTCAAGCCACTCCACCGCACGTGACTATCTTGTGGCACAAGAATTTTTACTGGCCCTTCCCTGCCTGTCATGAAAAAGTCAAGTCTACCACATCAATATACATCCAACTCCGTTCTATACACCTCTCGTCAACATCTGTGTGGCATTTGTGTCACATTCTTTCGAGCGGTCATTTTTTTCTATCCTACAATCCTACCTCGCACCAACATACCTACCCTACATCCCTGATTTTTTCAAAAGTTCTCACTGATGAAAATGAGTTACACGAACTGCCGAAGTCAGGGCAGTTATGCATCCCTATACAATCCCGTAGGCCAAGCCCTTTCTATCTCACCGCATATATAAACGACAGCTTCAGAAGGCATCAGAGAGACTGGTGCTTTACCCCCCAACAGCACCCCTATGACCTTCACGAACAATTCTCATATCTAAAATTGTAAATGCTCTAAGAACAGTTATTATATCTAAAGTCACAACCGCGATGCACAGTGGCTCCAAAGACATAAAAACATTTGGAGCCACTGACTTCAACTGTTGTGTCACAATCCCAATGGCAACCATACTGTTGCATACAGCATTGCGATCGAGGCCCACGACTCAGGTACTCCAAGGTTGGTTTAAGGACGGCCTCAACAAAGTATTAATGCACACACCGTTCCATGGTGGGCCAGAGGAGACCTTCAGGAGCCACAAAGGAAAACTGCAACAGTCAATCTTCACAATTGAATCCTGCAGAGCTTGCATGCCTTATCTTCACCCATTGGTGTGCCAACAGACATGCGATAAACAATCACCATTATTCGCACACTCAAGATTTTTCTCAAATCCTTAAGTGGGCACTCCAGCTTTGCAAGCCGAAGCTTCCTAAGGTTGCTATTGCACAAGCGCAAATTTGGAAGAGGGGGTGGATGGCACTGGCCGTTTCAACCACCAGTCCATCTGAGGTAAATTTCACAGACCTCAAGCCCCCCTCCACGCCAATGTAGCATTTTCATTTTCTTTTGCTGGCACCGCCAAGCCATTTTGGTCCGGTAGCACTGCTCATCCAAGCTTTCCTGATTGTTCCAACTTCTTTCTCAAGTTGTCTGGGGCCACATACTGGTGGTTTAAACCAGCAAGTCTTGTGAGCCCAAGTTGACAACACTCCCTTCCACACATCACTAGCCTATGCTACACCTTTTCAAATGGCCTGCCACACAGCATATACTAGAAGAGCCCTGCTTAGGTTCGTGTGCACCGGTGGTCTGACAAGATTGCTAATGGACACAACAATGCCCATCATAATGCTAACACCACGTTTAGTCCAACTCCCTCTCAAGTAGATGCATCCACTTGTGGCTGCAAATCCTCCCCCGCTTCCTGCCGCAGCTGGGAGTCACCATGCAAACTGCTGTTTCTACGAAACTGCAAATTTTTCCTTGCTGCTAGGCCATACATCTGCCTCACATGTAAAAACCTGCTCGGATTTACATCTGCCTCACATGTAAAGGTCTTTTCTCAGACTGTCAAAACCACTGCCAAACCCCACAAGGCAGCAGCAAACTCTCCTGGAGCTAAACTCCCGGGTTGCCCACCCTGGGCCATAAAACAAACTAGTCAGTTGGCAGTGAGGGATATACATCAAATGAAAAATAAGGCGTCAATCAGCTCCAGATCCACTCAAGTTGGTCTGCACGAGGTGGCGATGCCAGTGTGCAAAGCCATCTTACCAATTTCGCCCTGTGATGAGTGTACCCTCTTTTGAACTCCACACCACGGCCATCTGCTTCAGCAATCCTCAATGGAGCGAACATGATAAATTCCTCCGAGTTGCTAAACTCTCAAATTAGCAACCTCATCTGATGTCAGTCCAGCCCTCCACAGTTCTTCTAAACTACTTCAATCTCGCCTAACATCCCTGACGATCACCCTCTCCTGCAATTCTTACATGCCAGGAGAATGCAACCACAACACAAACTGCTTACCTGCCTTGCCGCTACCTGGAAATGGGCTACCTTCACAGGTAATGCTACTATGATGGTTGCACCACACGTCTGCCACATCGGATGACTCAATAGCTGGTGTTGCTACATTGACTGGGCATGAAGCCCATCAGCAGGATTCACCTCATCCCTGCAGCCACATGTGTTGTTGAAATTAAAGGCCGCAGCCCTGGCAGCGGCACCAGATGCCTCGCACATTGATTGACACTATTTGCACCATCGAATTGCATCACTCAACACTCTCGTCTGCTTCAACGGACATCCACCCCCTCCACATGGGTCACGAAGATGAACAGCAATATGCACATCCCCACTGCAGGCACATCTGCTGTTGGACGTATTGCAGCTACAACACCAAATGCGTGGCACATTGATTACAACGTATCATGAGCAAAAAGCGTCGCTAGAATATAACAATAAAATGCTGAGACACTCCATTTCCTACCTTCTCTTTCCCCATCCACAAAGACACTCCTCTCCCCACCTCCCTATCTTCCAACTTTCAAAAGAACAGACCAGTTCCCGCAAAAATGTCCAGCACACCTCACATTCCCCCTCTCCTTCGATGCACGTTATATCTGAAGATCACAAATTACAAGCAAGACACAACAGGCCTGCAGGGGCAAAAATAGCGCACAATGGGATCCACACCATTCAGTCAAAAAAGCTTCAGAGATACTGCATGTTCGAAAAAAAAAACAATGAAATGGTTGAGAACATTTCGACACTAAGAAGATCTGAGCCATTTCAAGATACAGAGAAGGAAAGGCACAGCGACTTACTTTCTCCCATTGGATCACTGTTGAGATCCATAATTTTGTCACTGACCACTGCTATCCCCTCCTCTTCGCTTTCTGCTAGCGAACACACAATCAAGCAGATTAGGTATCAAGATGAGGAGCTCACCACTCCCTGCGGTCCCCTTCCTGCAAATCAGAGAAAATGTCAGAGAAGATCTCATCAGACCAATGCGGACAGGGTAGCCACAGCAAACATGTTTTGCAGAGAATGTCCGAGGGAATCTCATCAGACCAGTGCGGACACGGTAACCGCAGCAAACATGCAACTAGAAAACAAAGACGCCCGACTACAATACCTACCAGATAACCCCAATTTATACGATTCCTTTTTACTAGATGGCTTGTTGGGGATATCCCCATTGGGAAAAGGCAAACAACTACTTACTACATGACCATTTTCCCCAATGCGCACCAAGTAAAAGCTGAGAATGGAACACCCACAGGACTGTACCAATCAACATCAGACAAGGGACAATCGTACCATAAATAATCATAGAGGCCACACCCCACACGAAAAGTAGAGCTGCGAGCGTGCACATCAACCTCTCTCTCTCTCTCTCTCTCTCTCTCTCTCTCTCTCTCTCTCTCACACACACACACACACACACACACACACACACACACACACAGAGACACACACACACACACAGAGCACGCGCTGGAATGTTGTCAAGAAAAAGAGACAGGTGTATAACCATGGTTGTAGATCTAATTATGGCGAAAAGAATGAAGAAAGAACAAAAGAGAGAGAGCGAGAGAGAGAGAGAGACGACGGGCAGAAAGCAAGGGCTATAACCGTGATTGTAGATCTAATTATGGAGAGAGGTAGCTTGCACAGCGAGCGAGCGAGCGAGTGAGCGAGAGAGAGAGAGAGAGAGAGAGAGAGAGAGAGAGAGAGAGAGAGAGAGAGAGAGAGAGAGAGAATGTCGAGAACGAGGGAGACAGGCAACTCTCTGGTTGCGTGTTGTTCGTCACTCATCACAATCAGGAAGTCTGTCGCGATGAGTCGCCTGGGGTACACACAGAGAGAGAGAGAGAGAGAGAGAGAGAGAGAGAGAGAGAGAGAGAGAGAGAGAGAGAGAGAGAGAGAGAGAGAGAGGTTGCACACACAAAGACAGTCAGAAGGGAGGGGGGATATTGAGAGAGAGTGAGGAAGTGCGACATGCTGAGACAGACAGGTGGGCGCGGAGGGCGAGACATATAGATAAACAGATAGGTAGGTGGATAGGCAGAGAGCAAGAAAGAGAGAAACAAGAGAGAAACATATATATTGTCACAAAAATATCAGAGCGCAAATGCGAAAAAAAAAGAAAGAAAAAAAGGAAAAAAAACAGGAAAAAATGAATTCAGTTTTTCATCTTCTTCCTTATAACTCAGAGATAACGAGAGAGAGAGAAACACATATATATAAATGGATAGGTAGATGGATAAATAGAGAGCGAGAGAGATCGAAAGAGTGAGACGAAGAGAGACGCGAAAAACGGGAGAAAGAGAGAGAAACGTCATTAGTGGCAGCTCCTTCGCGTCGGCCATAATTATGAGAAAGAAAGACAGCCAGAGATCAAGAGAGATGTACTGAGAACGAGAGAGATGGAAAGAGAGACAAAGCAGAGAGGGGCAAGCAGCACGATCCAAGGTCGATTGTCGCCAGACTAAGTATCATGTAGGAAAACTGAGGCGCACGAAAGAGGAAGCTTATCGTTGAGAAAGAGAGGGGGAGAGAGGGAGAGGGAGAGGGAGATGGACAGATAGAGACAGAGAAACAAAAAGATAGATCGGTATATAGATGAATATGAATAGACAAATACATCTATAGATAGAGGACGACATAAAGGGGCACTTGCTCGCCATTCGCCACCGCCAAGAAAGCAAGAGAGATACAGGACTGGTTGCAGGTGGTTCGTCCCGCATCACTATCTGGCAGCCCATCGCGGAAGCTCGTACGGTGAAGAGAGAGAAATTAGCGCAACGAGACAGACAAACTTCTCAAGCGAGGGAGAAGTACGTCGGTGGTCGCAAGTCAGTCGTCTCGGATAATGGTGAAGCATGTAAGAGCGTGGTAGTGGGTCAATCGATCGGAGAAAAGACACGTGTCTCACACACACACACACACACACACACACACACACACACACACACACACACACACACACACACACACACACAGAGGGAGCACAGAGAGAGCGGGATACGCATTGGTCGCACGTCGTTCGTCGCCCATTGCAATCAGGCCGATAAGCCTGTGGCGGTAGAGAGAGAGACACACACACACAGAGAGAGAGAGAGAGAGAGAGAGAGAGAGAGAGGTCATCGGCCGCAGCCCAATCG